ATCCAAAAATTATGGCATCTACTCACCATAATGAACTTAAATTATTAATTTTTTTTATAATTGTATTTGTCAAAAATGTATTATACGAGTAGTGTACAGTTTGACGTCAATTTAGATTATAAATAAAATGACATTTTTTCTTTGTACATACTCGTATTGAAAAATGTCGGAAAATGCTATAAATCAAATTTTTTTATATCATATAAAGATTTTCTATTTTCATAACTTAAAAATTTTTTTTCTATATTTCAAGAAAAGTTCGACATTACTTAAGAAAAAATTTATTTTTTTTTTTTTATTATACTATATTAAAATTTTACTACGTACAATTGTGTTATTAATTTAACGTAAAGTGGATATAGTAAAAAGTATAGTGTATATAGCAAATTACTATACGGCTAGAAATATTTTTGAAAAAATTTTGGAAATTTCAATTTTTATTTGAATTTTTTTTTGGATTTTATAGCGATAACGCACCAGCTATGGCAACAAATCCATAATTAATGACATATGAGATCATTAGCAAAATTCGATTGCAGAAATTAATTGAAGTAATTATTTTGAATATTGTCCTAACTCTATTCAAGAATATTTATTTATTTGTTTCTTAAAACTTAAATGAGCAAAAACTCGTACTGCGTGCTATAATTTTAATATTTCTTAGAATTATTCTAAATTACAAAAAACGATAAGTTAGGAAAATGTTGATTTTGTTTAAATATATAAGTGAATTTAGCTTTTTTTTTGTAAAAACGAAAGGCTTGCGGTACACGAAGGGTTTGCGGTATGCGAAGGGCTTACGATGTGATGGTAAACTATTGAACTCATATACTGCTTTATTATAAATATTATTTGACCGTGTTTGAATCGTTTCAAGGTTCTAGTGTTGTGACTATGTGTTTCAGTTCCGTAAAAAAAATTGTGTTTGAAATTAGCAAACCATCTCGAAATTTATATATGATATATATATATTATATAAATGATCTGCTTACGCTATTTTAAGTTGGCTTTGAATTGTGTTTATATTGCTTTCTCTCTAGAGATAAATAAGGCTCATACTTTGTTCTAATCTAGATTATATAAATTTTTTATTGCCTTGCCTTGTTAGTATATGATTTTTTTTAATTATTATAAATGTGTCTTATAAGTAGCAAAACCATGCAACTTTTAAAAATCTTTTCTCCCAATCAAAATTAGTATTACATGTAATTTGTATACACATATATGTATAGTTTGTTATACATATATATATATATTTGTATATTTGTGTTGAAATTTAAAGATTTTACTTGAAGTACCTACATAATTATTTTAAGTTTCGCTAAAATTTAACTTTATAAAAGGAAAAATTTTATAATTTTAGCACAACTATTCTTGATTTTTTAATAATAACAATATTTATAACTTAAATTCCATATTATATAAATAAAAATTAAAGTACAATAATAATAATAATATTTGAATGGTTGAGTCCAGACTATAACCTAGAAATATTATTTGTATTGGTCCTAGAAACAGAACCAATCCAATTAAAATTACTTATTTTTTTTTTTTACTTTTGTTATATCCTTGGTTATTATATTTACAATACATGTATTTCAAATAAATGTTTCCAAAATCTAGGCCGGGAACTTTTAATTATATTACATAACAGATATACAAGAATAAAAATACAAAAACAAAATCTGAATTCTATTATATTTTCACCGCCATGTATAAATTTTTTTTTTAATTTTCGTAAGGATAACAATAAATAAATGGAAAACAAAATATATTTTTAATGAAAAAAAAAATTTTTTAGTGAGAAAATCAACATATTATAAAAATAATAATAACAATAATTTATCAGACCGCGAAGGTTAAGAATTTCCTCTATTTCTATACCGTTAATTTTCTGTTTTCGATTCAAAAAACAAAAATATATTTTAACCTATACCATCCAGACAATGTAATAACATTTACAGAAAAAAAAAATAAAAAAAATATTGAGAAAAAATCTAAACTAGAACGTCTTATACATTTAGAAAGAATTGAGTTTTCTGGTATACAGCCTTGATTTTTTGTTTACATTTAAACTTTTATTTTGTTCTATTTATGGTTTTTAGTATTGTTTTTTTTTCTATATTTTCCTCTTAATTCGAAGTAAAATCAAAAAATTTATAAAACCTACGTTTATTGAATTTTTCTTATTTTTAATGTTAAATGTTATTGAGAAACTAGTAGACTATTATAATTTCATGGGAAAAATATTATGGAGAGAAAAAAGGTATAAGAATAGCATAATATTTATAAAATAAATTCCAGGATATAATTTATATAATAAACATTAGATATTTAGATATATGTATTTAAATATCTTCACCATCTAACTCTGCTCCACAGTAACGTAATGAAATTATTTCTGAAAATTATAATTCTACTTCTGAAATTATTCGTAAATATTTCATTCTAAACCCTTATTAATTAACTTTTAATTTGAAATCTGTTAATTTAGAGCAAATTTATACTAATTTTCGAAAATATATGTAAATTTCTGTAACAAAAAACATTCATGTAAACAAAGACATCATTTACTGCAATAGCACGATAGCAAATGAAATTAAACCTGCAGGGTAAAAGTGGTTAGGAATGACAACAGTTTTGCATGACGAAGATCAGTCGCAAAGGAACTATATGGTACCAACTGATAAAATATATGGGCAGATATAAAAATATTGGCGAAAGTAGAGTTCCGAAACAAACTAGAGCATCAGGGAAAAAGACGACATAATTTTAATTTTTCATTAAGAAAAACTTAAGAAAAGGAGAAAAACGACGTCAAAAACGGGCTGTCCTCTTTTTAAAATTTTTGTATATCAAATTTTTGTCAATTTCCTAGTTACCTTTAATTTTTTTTTAAATGAATTTCTCAAAAATATTACAAGTTTTTCTTTTATAATTATATTCCTATATAATTTTTTGTATTAGATAAAATTTCAAAATTAAAAAGCACACTTTATTTAGTTCTTCAAAACAAAAAATACCTTGATTATGTTGCATACTCCAATATTCTTGTCTTAAATTTCAACAAAATGTAATTTAATTATACCTTAATTCTAACTTCAATATTATTCAACTAGTAAATTCTATACCCTACAACAATTAAAATAATTTTCAAGCATTTATTAAATTCCAAACCACAAGCAAAAAACAAAAGTACAAATACAAAATTTTACAACACTTCAATTAAAAAATATTTAATAATAGAAAAATTTAATTAAAAAACAAAAAATATAAACCAAAAAAAATTTTTTTTAATACTCGTATCAGCAAAAAACACATGCATTTTTATTAATCATTATTATTTCTGACATTAATCACTATACTACATAACTGTATTGTCATAATAGTAATTATCACGATTAATTTTATTATATTGCTAAAATATTGTAATTATTAATTTTGACAATACGCAAAAATTTTTAACAATAATACGAACACAAATAATAAAAAAATCAAAAAAAAAATACTAAAAATAAAAAATAACAAAAGAGAAAAAAATTAAATAAAAAGTAGCAAGGAAATCAAAAAGTCTACGATACAAAAAAATTTTCTTCTTTGCAGACACAAAAAACAACAATAAAACAAACAAAAATGTTAAAAAATAATAAAAACAAAAACAAAAACAGAAAACAAAAATAACAAATTAAATTTTACTTACACATGTAAAGGTGAAAATTATTGTTTTCTCTTTTTTCTCATATTTTTCTTTTATTTTTCCTGATTTTCTATATACATTTTGTTTCTATACATACACCTATATACAAAATATTCAAATATGTTTATATACATAAATGAATAATGTGAATATAGGTACAAGTACATATCTATTATTATTTATAGTGTATGCATGTTGGATGGTTAGTACTATAGATGAAAATTATTTTAAATGAAAATTTATTTTATACACTCACTTACCTAAATATGTAGACACATTGTATGTACATACAATATTACATATTATGATTAACTATTCTCATACTTTAATATTATTGTATAGTAACATTTTTTTTATCAAATTGTTTCTCAACATTTTTGAATTTGTATCAGATACTTTTTGATGAAGGTAAATAATAATAATTTTTATAGAAAAACAAAAATAACAAAAAAAAAAACAAAAACAACAAGAAAAATAATATTATAAGAAAAATTAAAGAATAAAAACATTTTATATATTTGTACCTACATACATACATATATTTTTATTAATATAAATTTTATGTACTTACGTATGTATGTATATATATTTAAAATATATATATATATATATATATACGAATTTTTTTTTAAATTCATACATCCATCGCAAAAAATTTTTTGTATTTAAGACTTGAAAAGTACTCCGCGCAAATCATTTTACACTTGGCGTTCTTACTGATAGCAACAAATCTCTTGAAATAAAAATAAATACAAAAAAAAGAAAAAAAAATTAAAAAAATAAATTTCAAATTTTGTTTGTTTTGTGTTTGTTTTTTTCAAAAATATTGATAATAAATATCATAAATCAAATCAAAAAATAAAAATAAAATAAAAACTAAATTTTTTTATATTTTTTTCTGAGAAAAAAAAAATTTTTTTTTTAAGAACATTTTTAGCGAAAATTATTCGTATTTTATTGAACTTTTAATAAAATTTTTTGAATTTTATAAATAACAAGTGTACTTTTCTTAAGTGTTGTTTTTTGGATATTTTAAAATAAAAGTGAAATGAAGAAATTTTAAAAGAAAAACACAACAAAAACAATTTATTATAAAAACAAAATAATTAAATTTTATGAAAAACAAATTGAAAAATAAATGAAATTATTCAATTTTGGAAAAATTCGCATATCCCGAATTATTTTCGTAATAATTTTCAATTAAAATTAAAATACTACTGTATTTTGGACTAAATATTTTAAATTGAAAAAAAAAAAAAATTAATTGAAAATGTTTTCAAAATTAATTCTACTATTATTTATAATATACATTAAATATATAATAAAAGTAAAATCATCAAGATTTTTATTTGATGAAAGTTCTGAAATAAGAACAGCACAAATTAATTTAAATGATCCAAATCATCAATCACTTATACAAAATAATTTTAATTTAAGTGCTGATGAAATTCGACGTATTCGAATACATAGTGAACAAAAATCAGTACATGAATCAACCGTACCAAATGATGAAAATGATCGTTTTAAAATATTAAAGGATGATAGGTAAATTTTAGAAAATTTAATTAAAATAATTTTATTTTAAATAATTTATTACATGTATTAATATTTATTTTTAATTAGAAAATTTATTTTATGAATAATTCACATTAGAATTAGAATATCCATAAAATTAAAATTAGAATTAGAATTTCCATAAAATTGAATTTAGAATTTTTGTCAAATGGGTACGTAAATGGGTAAAAAAGACTAAAAATAATTAAAATTAATTAATATTTTTCTAATAATATTGTCACTCTATTATTTTCTAAATATAATTATGAAAATTAAATTAATTATTGAAAAAATTTCTTAAATATTTAATGGGAAAATTTAAAACTAAAATATATTTAGATATTTTTTAAAAATATTCTGTATATAGCAAGAAATCACCAAGCATCCCAGAAGGATTTAGATTATTAAATGAAAAATTTTACAATTATACACAGAAAAAAATAAAAAATCAAATTTCAATATTAAAATTAATTTGAAGGTGACTCCTTGCAAATTGCTATGGAATAAAATTAAAAATTTTTAAGTAATTTTCTATTTAAAAACAATATTTTCAAAATATATTTTGAAAAAAAATTTTCAATTTAATTATTTTAAAATTGCAGTGCTCATATTAATAAAATTTTATTATTTTTGAATGCAATTCAAAAAGCAATTTTTTTTTTTATTTGCAATTGCAATTTATTATTTTATCTAATATTAAAAATTCACAATGTCATTAATAATTTTTGTCAAAAATTTTCCCAAAAAAAAAAAAATATATTATTTTTAGAATATTTTACTATTTTAAAAGAAATTATTGATGGAGAGAAGAAAAAATTGTTAAAATATTTTCTTTTTCATTGCTTGTACATTTTTAGTCTACTAAATATATATATGTAGTTTAAATAATGTAGCACAATAATAATATATAAGATAAATTTAATGGAATATTTTAATAATTTTTAAAAAGAAAATTCATTTTCGTTTGCAATCATTCAATATTTTTATTGGTTTTCAATAAAAACAAAAAAAAATTTTCCACTTGAAAAAGAGCAAAAATGGATTTTTGTTTTCAAAAATAAAATTTTAATTTAAATTTTTTTTTTTTTAATTTTTTTGTTTGATTCAAAACAATTTTGTGAATAATATTTTCTATAAAGAATTTTTATTTGGAAAATATGTTTTACACATTGTTTAAGAGAATGCTGTGCATAAAATTCAGAAAATTGAACTATTCGGATTTTATTTTCCAATCCAAGTTTTTCCAAAACTTAGCGACTCGAAAAAAGTTTAAACAATTAAGAAAAAAATTTCTAATTTAATAACAATAATAAATTTAAAATGAAAAAAATTACTTACTAATTATATTGAAATATTCAATATAGAAAAATATCCAATTAATATTTCTTAGCTTCCATTTTAATATTTAAGTGATATTGAATAATATACATACACACATCTTCATAATAACTATAAAATAATATACTTTTATGACCTTCTCAATTAATTTATCACCATTTCAATAATTTTATTCATTTAAATAGAAGGTTTTATATACTTATTTATAAAATAACAAAAATTGCATAATTTTAGGCAAATTTTTTCAATTACAATTTAGTAATTTAAAATAATTAAATATATTTTTTTTTATCAAAACATGTTTAAATCAATTTTGAGATATTAAGAAAAAAAAATGTCTAAATAAAAAAAAAAGGGGGGAAAATTAATTGGGCCTCTCTATTTCGCTATGTGTAATTATCATATATTTGATCCTATTGAGAAGCTGAGTAATTTTATTAGAAATAGGAAATATTTATTAGAAAAACAGTAAATTCTGATTTGAAAGTGAATAACTAATGAGAAGAAAAAACGAGAAACACGACCTAAGTTGGAAGGCTACACTAAAGATTATAATTGAAAAACAAAAAAAATAGAATTTAATTTACTACTTAGAACTTCGAAACTAAACTATATTAACACTATATTATAAAACTATAAATAAGTAAAATTTTAATTAGCATTTCGAATAATTGACCAAAACATAATCATAAATATTTAGATTTAAACTGAACTAGCAGGTTAACATTTTTGTCATTATCTTCTAAAATATAATTCATATATAATTATCTTAATTTGTACATATTTTGGGTTCAACTGTGACGAGAAATTGACTTACTGGACTTAAGTAGATTTTGCATACTATAATTATACAAAACAAAAAATCATATACCAAATGCATTAAATCATATAATTTATATTCATTAGATCATTCTTGAAATTTTCGAAATACTAGAAAATTAATTCATTACTTAATTAAAGTTAATATTAACTAAATTAATGAATTCAATTAATTTATATCAGTAAAATGTTCATTGAAATGCAAAACATATCAGATTCAATATACACATATGTATGTAAATAAAATACAGGTACACCAATATACATAATATTTATGTACATATAAAATATGTATAGTTAATAATTGTCGAGACATTTTCATTTAATTTTATATTCTTAATTATAATAATATTTTCATACATTGTATAATTTTCCTTTTTGATCCTTTTAATAATGCAAAAAAAAACGCAAAAACAAAACATTTATCATGGTTCGACTGCAATTTTACAATAAAATGAAAAATTTATAAAGAAAACAAAAAGAAAAAATCAAAAGTTTAACTAAACTTTTTTTTATTGTTGTTAATATTCTTGTTGTTTTTTTTTTTATTATTTTAATTTTATAATATTTTAAATATAGAAAGGATTGATTTCCATGTGAATTAAATTAAAAATGTCTCATTTTGTATATATTTGACGTTTTCTATATTATTTTTTATACATTTTTTGTTATTATTTATACATACACTTATACATATATGTACTCTTTGAATTGTTGTTTGTTTTTGTTTGCTATCAACTTCTTGTGTTTTTGAAGTGGTTAACAAGCCTTGTTGGCTTTTGCTATAATATTCCTGTTTTTGTTGTTTTTTTATATTTCATGTTTTTTTATTCTTTCTTGTTATTATTTAACCACAAAATATTTATTTAACAGAGAAGCTGAAGCTGAAGCTGAAAAAAAAAAAAGAGAGAGAGAAGAGAATTGAAAAACTTAAAAAGAAATAAAAATCAAATATAAAAACAAATCAGAGAAAAGAAACAGAAGAAATTCTTAAACGGCATTCAAACCATATTAGTCAGTTATGTATATATTTCCATAGAGAGGCCGTCTAGACTTAAAGACCTTAATTTAGCCGACAATTTATTTATTTTCTTTTTTTTTTGGCTTTATTTTCTCATTTTTTTTTCTATATTATTTTTTATTTCTTTTATTTTTTACGTTTTATTATATTATTTGATATTATTAAATTATGTACAAGTATATGCATGTGTACATGCAACATACATGTTATTACATGTTTTTTTTTTTTTTTTCAATCTGAAATTCACTCAAAAATTTTTAAAAAAACGACATCTGCGGTAAGATTTTTAAAACAACTACATAATAATGTTAAATACCTAAAAAAAAATATGTGAAAAAAACAAACATAAGAACAACAACAATAATCAACACTTAATTCATCAACTGTTCACCAATTTACCACTCACTTCTTTTTCATATTTTTTTTGTTTTTTTGTTCTTTTTTCCTTTTTTTTTCATTTTTATTAATGTCTTTGCATTGGCAATGTCACTGGTAAGTACTTGCACAACAGTGGTATCACATCATACATGTATGTACATTTATGTATGAACGTATAAACATCCACACATGCATATGCGTATTTATAATATAAATATTATGTACAACATTGACATGCTGCCAACTATGTTTCAATTATGTTTTAATTTTTCTTCTATGCTATTTTGTTTTTCTCTTTTCATCATTTTATTTTATATTTTGTTGATTTCTTCTTCTTGTTTTCTGTTTTTTTTTTTTTATTTTAAATTTCAGATGAATGAAAAAATATGTAACTAAGAATTTGACGACGAATAACGACGACAACGACTGACGACATAAGTAAAAAAAAAGAACAAAAACTGCAACAAAAAGCGAACAAACGATAAGCATAACGAAAACGAGACAAGATACAGTAAAGAAAATATTTAAAAACCAAAAATAAAAAAAAAAAACAAGAAAAAAACCTACAAAGAAAAAATATGTATAGTCGGCTGTCTGGGCCATGTCTAGCAAATCCGTTAATGAACTTTTTGTAGGTCGATATGTGTGAGAGTGAAATAATATGAAAAAAGAACAAAAAATGTAGAGAAATATAATCATGTATTGTGCATCTATACAAACATACATAAGTACATATGAATGGATGTATGTACATATGAATGTATAACTAAAGAAAAAAAGAGAGAAAAATCATAACTTTTATGCTCTAAAAATATTCAACATATGTTTTTTATGTCCACTTATATTTTAATATTCTCTAAACTAACTGTGTGTAAATAAAAAATTTATTATGAAAATTATTATGGCATCAGTAATTTTGATCTTAAATAATCTTAAATTTATTTTTTGCAAAAAAGAAATGTTTTAGACACAAGCACAAAATAGACGTACAGCACGGACCAGACAGTTATGGTTGAAAAGGAACGAAATGATACAAGAAATCTGTCCGGTATAAGTAAATCAAGAACAGTGGGCTGTAATTTCATAATGGTTCTCGCCGTAAATTTTACAAATAACATAAGAGCCAAAATGTTTTTCTGCCGGATAGTTGCTATTTCAGGAAAAGCATTAATCAAACTTTTATCTGATAACGTTCTGTCTTGTCAAAATTTGTCAACTTTGTCAAAAATTAAGTAAACTGTCAAGTATTTTACAATTGAGAATACTTTTTGTCTGCAATTTAAGTCTTCTAACCAATAAATGATATAATTTATTTGCCTGAAAGTATGCTATATAATTTGATATAAATAATATTGTTGCATATTATCCATTCATTGTCAATAACATTATCGTATTCACTACAGTCAAAAATATAAAAATAAAAATTACTACTACC